ACCTCTATGGAGAAGATACTTCCTCCCAATGTTTTCCTTCTCCATTAGATACCTTTGACACCCCAATCCTTTTGAACCCATCACCCCCCTAAAAGGGGTGGCAAAAGAAGAAGAGGGCAATCACAGCAGCAGAATTGAAGCTCCACATCTTTTGTGCTTGCCCCAACCTAGCCCAAACAACATACAAAATGGTGGGGCATTGATTGCACCCCTGTAACCATTGTTGTGTCTTACGCTTTTTGACAATCCATACAATGGGTTAGTGGTGCATATAACAGGGGTCTTCAAACTTGGCAGCTTTAAGACTTGTGAACTTCAAGTCCCAGAACTTCTCCTCCAGTCATGTTAGCTAAGGAATTCTGGGAGTTGAAGTCCACAAGTCTTAAACTTGCCAAGTTTGAAGACCCTGGGCATATAATTTCTCTCCCTCCTTCATTTTTGGACCCAAACGAACTTCTAATCAACGAGAAAAACTCTATGCCTCTACTTGCGGAAGAAGTGCGGTGTTTAGAAGACAGGAGGGTGACATATTTTGGTGGTCAGTAGAAAGCTTGAGTTCCTACAGCCCATTGATGCAAACTGTGGCTTGTTTGGTTTCGGCTTAATGAGTTTTACATGGAGCCAGTTATGCTTTAGTCAATAAGCCACGTCAGGCAGATCGTGGTTTGGTGCAATGTAAGAACCCACTTTAAAGCTGTTCATCATGCGCCTACAGATGCTACATCTGCTTCCAAATAATGGGCTGTACCATGGAAAAATTGTTGTTTACTTCTTCTGTTCTCCCCACTCTTCCTCTAAGGAATTAAGGGTAGTTAAAAATAGGATCTCTGATTTAATGTTTTAGCCCCCCTCCCCTCAATGTAAATAAGATGCAGACAGAAGCTGGCTTTGTAGCTGAAGAGACACCCGAACTCTGCTCTTCCAGGTCAAATTCTAATACAGGAAGTCCTCGACTTACAACAGTCCATTTAGTGACCATTGAAAATCACAAGGGCACTGAAAGAAGTAACTTCTTTCCACACTTGTGACTGTTGCAGCATCTCCATGGTCCCATGATCAAAATTCAGAGGCTTGGCAACTGACTCATATTTATGATGGCTGCTGTGTCCTGGGGTTATGTGAGACTCCCTTTCTGTCAACCAGAATCAAGGAGGTAGCCACATTCCCTTAACAACTTTAGTGATTCACTTAACAACTATAGCAAGAAAGGTCACAAAATGGGGCAACACTCACTTAACTGTCTCGCTTAGCAACAGAAATTTTGGGCTCAATTGTGGTCATAAGTTGAGGCCTATGTGTACGTGTATATACACGTATGTATGTACCGTATGAATATGTATATGTACACACAAACACACATATACACCCCAGAAGACTGTACTCAGATTCTACAACTTTCATGTGGAAATAACCTTTTCTGCCCTCAAAACAGCTGGACTCCTGCTTTCTTCTGTTGGCTGCTAAATGCAATGTTACAAGCCACCCTCGTTAGAAAAAAATTATCTGTCCAGAACCACAGTGGACATATAGGCCTTCTGTAGGTTGGTTACACTATTTAAAACTCTCCACTTACTTGGATTATCTAAGGCTAAACTTTCACTTCACTCAATCATAATTGGGTGGAGAGTTTAGCCAGGCATGGATATATATTTGAGAGAGAGAGGGAGGGAAGGAGAGAGATAAGGAAAAAGATACTCTCAGTAATATTTGCACAACTTTCCAATGAAGTTGACACCTGTTGATGCCAGGCGCTCTCAAATGAGCTGCCGACCTGCCAATGTTGCTGAGGAAGTGCCCTAAATTTAACCTGGTAATCTAATACAGGCAGAAACTTTGCCAACTTGTTAGCTCTCACCTGAGGCTAACTCCTCTGTTGTCACATTCCTAGCTGGCGGAAAATGCAAACCCCAGATCTGACATACCTTATTAGATTTCCTTCCTTTTGAATACCAACAACAGCAACAACAAAAAACCCAACCCCAGCCCCCAACAATCCCAAACCCTTCAGACAAACAATGACAATTGCCTTAATCCATAAAGGAGAAAAATCCATCATCAGGAGAATCAATAATTGGGAAAAAAAAACTTGGAGGGAGGAGCTTTAATTAACTTAATTAGGGTTAACCAAGATCAGACAAATATACCTAGCAGTTGTTGAGAAAGGTTGCACATCTTTAAGTGTCATTTTGGTTGGTCCACATATTGTTTTTTAAAAAAACAATTTCCTTTCATTATGGCAGGACATCAACCTTTCATTAGAGTTTTGTAGCTGAAGGAAATACTTCCATACAACTCTGAAGAAAACAACAGCCCTTGTATCATGAGAAGCTGAGCTTAATCTACATGAGTCTTGACTTTTCAAACTTAAGTTTTGATAACCCATCATTAGAGAGTAAATGTGAAGGATGGGAAGAGAGAGATCTGATCATTAACTGATTTCTCATAACTCACTAAGCCTTGATATATCTTGTTTGATTTATGGCTCAAGAAGTTCATTGCACTTGCTTATAATTCTATAATCGTTCAAAATCTAAATTTTAACATTTTAATTCTCATATACTGTTTTATATTTCGCTACTGTACTGTATACCATATACTGATTGAGACAGGTGGTCCAGAAATGCAAAATAATAAATTAACAAACAAACAAACACAAGCCCAGCTAAAGTGGCTTCTTCGACAAATAAACTTTTCAGGATCCAGTCTGGGACATGTATATTCGCCATCATTGGTAAATCAACTATTATTTTTATTTATTTTTTAAAAACATCTTGTTTTTTTACAATGCATGAACCGAGAGAGAGGCTGTACTGCAATGTTTGAGTTTTGTCAAACACTTGCTCTAAAGCTCTGCCTAATTTTAGTTAGTGGAACAACCCACTGGGTTTGGCCCAAACACTGCAGTTATCAGTGACTGATTTAGTATGACTGATAGTAAGTCAAAGGAACAGAAAGTTCTCCTATCTCTGGGAAATCCGGTGAAGTCAATTGTTTGCAAGGGATTATAATTTTTAAAAGGTCTGCAATTCTTATCTGGAAGTGTATGAAAAGTAGGAAGCAGAAGTTGCTTCTGAAGGAATGTTAAATATATAACACCACCAAGAGCAGAAAAGGCTTCAGCGGAACACGAAAAATGCATCATACCACCCCATTTAGACAAGTGGTTATTTCTTACACAGATGTAGCAGATGCTGGTATATATTAAATGAGCATGCAATGCTACGTAATTAAGTTGCACCGCCTAACTGCTATAATGAACACTTCCGTACTTTAAAATAGGATTTTACAAAACTAAAGGTATAACTTTTATAAAGACATTTTTGTATCCTGGACATTTAGACAATCTTTTTTTTTGTCTGTTTGTTTGTTCACATAGCAGACATTTAAAAGTGTGAAGTCACACTCTTACAGCCAAGGGTTAAGCCATTTGATTCTGGGAGCATTACTTCCAAAGACACATGTACACATTTCAAGGAAGGAGTTGATTCTGCTCTAACATGGAGGTGTCCAGCTTGCGATCCACCAACAGATACCCTCCAAATCTGGAAGGGTAGCCTCAGAAACCCCTTTAAAAGTTGCCCAGAATTCCTACGTTCAAAGACAAAAATGATTCACTTTATTCCTGCTCACTGAACATTATCAATCCAATGTCAAGTAAGTTGAATTGTTTGTCTGCTTTATGCTGTAACAAGAGGTTCGTGGACATCAAAGCACAATTGTAACCCAGCAGAAATTAAAGGAAACTAATGAACTTTACCCTTTGGTAGATATTAACCAAACAGTAATTGGGGAACACAATCCTAGATCTTCCCTTATGGATTCAACACATAGGTACCCCCTAAGACTGCGTTCTCAAGTAAATCTAGCAAGAATTTGAATAAAACAGCATAAAATTAGTAAGTTCCCATCAGAGTTTAATGGCCAGAGAATAAACTGGCTATGTTCACTGTTGGGTTATAGAATCAATCGGTTTTGTGAGTTCATTCAGTACAGGGTTGGGTTTTTGTTTTTGAGTTCATCCAATATTGTACCTTGAACAAGAAGCTGATAATCAAAGGTTTTGCATTTAATTCTCCGATCAAGGCATGCGCCAAGCATCCTTAACCGTGATGGTCTCACAGAAAGCCAAAACCAGACCCCCTTTCCCATAGAGGTCACAAGCCTGGCACCACGCAGGGAAAAAAAAATCTCAGTTTCTTCCAGCAAATTCTACCCACCCCAGATGCCACTCTACCCTACTGCCCAGTTTATTGCCATCCAGAAAGAGATGCCAAGGCGTTGTGCCTGTTTCTGATCCGTAAATGTATCCCATAGCATGCATCAGGTGGGGTGGGGGCGAAGGCAACAGGTACCCAAGGAGCCAAGTGAATTTCTGGGTGAGGGTCAGTGTCTCCACCCCCCACTCCACGCCACCACTCCCTCCCCCAATTCGGTTTTCACCCACCAGGCAGAGTTTACACTCGTTTCACCGTTTATATAAGGGGAGGCGGGGGGGGGGGGGGGGGGGGGGGGGGGGGCCTTTACCCCGGGTTTTCCCTCCGCGAGGAGGGGGGGGGGGGGGCGGGAAGAGGGGGGGGGGGGCGGGCGCTGGGGTAAGGTTTCTCTCTCTCCCCGGACCCTCCTCGGAAGGCAAAACTCCAATTCACACACACACACACACACACACACACACACACACACACAACCTGCCCAATCCTCACAAGTCTTTTCCTCCAACTTCACATCAAGGAGGCTCCGAATCGGCGGAGAAAATACCTGTTACGCAGGCGGGATTTTTTTTTAAATTTTAATTTATTTTTGCTTTGCTTTGCTTAACCAGACGAGAACAGAACTAATCGGAGCCGGGGGTGAAGGGGAAGCAAAGCTCCCCTCCCTTAAATTCCCGAGGAACCTCGCCAAGAGTCGGTAGACATCCCCCCCCCCCCCCCCGCCCTCCTTCCAAGAGCGCAAAGGGGCTCCCGCGCCAGGAGGGTCCCCTGTCCGTCCTGCCTCGAGCTCACCTTGCGAAAATAGCAGGAGCCTCTCTGGTCCGCGGCCGGACAGCCGTTGGGCAGCAGCGTCTCCGTCATCTCCAGCCGCTTGGTGACCGGGGCCGGGGATGGGGTCGCCCGCTGCCTCCGTGGCCAACTCCCCGAGTGAGTCCTCGCCTCCACCGCCTCGCTTGAGCGCCCGGGCGCAGCACCAACTGCGGTCTGGCTGCTCTGCAAGCTCCTCCCCTTCTACCTGGGAAACCCGCAGGGAGGGAGTGGAGGAGGAGGAGGAGGGAGGAGGAAGCGCTTCCTTGGGCTGGTGCCTCGTGGATTCGGGCCGCGGTCCCGCCCAGCAGCGGCTGTGCAAAGGATTAGAAGCAGAGTAGAGCTGGAAGGAAGTCAGTCAATCAGAACAGAGCTGGATGGGGCCTTGGAGGTCTTCTAGTCCAACCCCCTGCTTAAGCATCCTCTCAGACAAGTGGCTGATCTCCAGTCTCTTCTTAAAGACCTCCAGTGATGGAGCGACCACAACTTCTGGTGGCAAGCTGTTCCACTGGTTAATTGTCCTTGCTGTCAGGGAGTTTCTCCTTAATTTCAGGTTGTTTCCTCTCTCCTTGATTAGCTTCCATCCATCAAGGAGAGGAGCAACCTGGAATTCAGAGCGGTGAGGTCAACCCAAACCGGGGGTGCATTTCTCCCACCCGTCCCCAGGCTCCTGGTCAAAGGACGAGCTGCCCAGGACTGCGGGTTTAGCGAGGAACAGAGGTGGTATTCAGCGGGTTCTGACCAGTTCCGTTGAACCGGTAGCAGACATTCGGAGTAGTTTGGAGAACCGCTAAATCCCACCTGACTGGCCCCGCCCCCCATTCTATGCTCCGCCTCCTGAGTCCCAGCTGATTGGCTGGGTCTCCTTTGGTTGCCCTGCACAGGAGAACGGAGCTGGAAAGCAGGTTAGTCGGGTGGGGAGGGAATGGGGATTTTGCAGTAATCTTCCCCTGCTACGCCCACAGAACCGGTAGTAAAAATATTTGAATCCCACCACTGGACAGGAAGATCAGTTCCCAGGATCCGTGGCTCTGTACCTAATTGAGAGGCAGATCCTATCCCTACCCTGAGCAGATCGAAGGGTCAATTGATCCTGCTAAGGGCGGGAATGGGATCTGCTTCTGGATTAGGTCTATCCACTCACCCTTAGGAGGATCCCTAGCTTTGTGTTAAACCTTCGTTTGCTTTAGTTTAACTGTCAGATTCACAAAATAGGCAGGCATAAACCACGGTTTGTTTATACATGGGTGGCTTCACTCATTAGAACGATTAGATGACATGCCACTGCTTGTCCTTGATTTACGACCGTTTGCTCTGCAACTGTTTGAAGTTACAGTGGTGTAGGAAAAGTGTCTTACAACCGGTCTTCCCCAGTTACGACCATCACAGCATCCCTACAGTCACCTGATCAAAATTCAGGCGCTTGGCAACGGATGTGTAGTTAGAACAGCTGCAGCATCACGATCTGCCACCTACCTTGCACAGTTTTCGACAAGCAAAGTCAATGCAGATTCACTTAACAACCAGGGCAAAAAAGATGCTAAAATCAGACGTGATTCACTTAATAAGCACCTCGCTTAGCAACAAAAATTCTGATTACGATTGCGGTCATAAGTCAAGGACTACCTGCACTGTAATTCAGCTAGGTTTGACCTGAATTGTTGCTTCTCCCAGCCCAGCCGATTGGCAAAGTGCACCATAGAGCTAGTTTTCTGGCAAATGCATAAAAGAGGTGGCCCTTTGTTAGTCTTAAACCACAGCCTCAAGTTTCCTTATCCAATTGGTTTTGTCAGTTGTTTACGTTTGTTTAGAATAAATAATGGTAGGAATAGAAATATACAACTTTTTAAAAAAGCATTGTCTTTCCTTTAATGCCATGCAATGTTTTCTGTGTCTCTGCAGAAAAGGATTTGGTTGCCAAGAAACTGGGTCCCAGTGGAATCTTATCTTTTTGTCCTCGGAGTCTTTCAACTTCTTTTTTGGTCTTTAGTTCTAGTGAGGCGTTTTCTTTTTCTTTTCTTTCTTCCTCTTGTCTCTCCTTTGCTATCCCAAGGGGATCATGTGGGTAGGATGGTCCTCTCCTTTGGGAATAATTCCTCGGTGGGGGTAGAGATCTCTTTCTGAAATGCTTTTTCTTTCAAGAACCAGAGAGATTTGGTACAAATCACAGTAGATTTTCCCCATCACCACACACACACACACATACCACACTTCTGGGGCATTGAGGGAAGTTGCCAGTTCGTGAGCATTGCTCGCTGTAAAAGTAGAAACAACTGATAGATTGTTTTACAGCCACAAAGCAAAAATGTGGAGTGGCAGGTTTGGAATGCGATTATCGAACTTTTAAGACTGCTATTTCCAATGTGGTAAAATGAATTGTCCCTGAAATACAGGGCAAAGTGAAAAGTTCTTTCTCCATTAGGTGTTTCCCAGGAAAGAGTATCTTTAAACTTTCAGATCCGCACTGAAGCGTCCCTGAAGGACCGGAGTTGTTTTGGAATATGTAATATGAATTTAAATTAGACAATTATATCATGAGCATACTGTTAATTGTCAACAAAACAATCTATCAACACCTCGCTTGTTTTTCTTGTCAGGATTCAATACAGATACACGTCAATGGGAAAGCAGAATAGTGTTCGAGGTTCTCATTTTATGGCTAAGAAGGGTCTTCTTTAAGGCTTTCTGCCTTTAAAATCAAAAGCTTTTATGTTTCGACCAACTGGTTTTACTTCCTTGAATAAAACTATTGATCCTTTTGATAATCTAAAATATGGAATTGTATTTTTATTAGATGTCCTTCCTCTACACGCAACTGATCGCTTTCAAAACGCCCAGAGATCATCTCTGAAAGTATTGTACATATAATATTCCTTCCTCCAGATTGAATAACTGCATTAAACCCACATGGGAAGAGAAACAAGAATAAAAACAACGAAGAGTTTCAATGCCCAATAAATGTTCTGATCAGATATTAAAAGGAATGTGTATTGAGATGGGATATATTTAATCAACTCAGCTCCAGAGAGGGTGTGTGATGTAAATAATATATATTTATAAAAAATTCAAATGACGAAAGTTTCAAAGGTCAGGCAGAGATATCTTGAACATGTCCAACTTATTCAGCAAAAGGAATGCAAGTGAGTCAGTGAGATTTTCTTTTTTTACTTTTGTCCTCTACTTTGTTTGTGTGTGTGTGTGTGTCTGTGCATTTGTGCATGCGTGTGTGATGATTCTCCTGTGCTTTTGAAAAGCAACTCATTTCCCAGAATAGGAACAAAAAGGAAGAATGCCTCTGAGATGCCTTAAAAGAAGACAAAATCTGTAAACATGCCTTATTTTTGTTTGTTAACTTGTTTCTAAAAAAATAAATTGAAAGGAAACATTTTGAAATGTGCTGCTGTGTTTTAATACTTCCAGTATCTGGAAGGATGGTAGCATGTAAGTTAGATGGTAGCATCTAAGTAAGCTTAGTTTTAAAAACTAAGCAGGATCAGGCCTGGTTGTATATTAATGGGAGACCAGAATCTTGGGTGAGCAGGCTGGGAAATTAAAGGAATTGGCAATACAATATACTGACAGTCTATTATGGAAAAATGGCACATCAGTAAAAGCAAAAAGAAATTAGATTAAAGATAAAGACACACTATTCAGTGTTTCTCAAATATGGCAGCCTTAAGTAGGAGGACTTAAACTCCCAGAATTCCCCAGCCAGCTATGATGCTGGCTAGGGAATTCTGGGAATTGAAGTCCACATGTTACCAAGTTTGAGAAACATTGTACTATATCTTTATCGATATTTTATTGCTTTTTTAAATTAAAGATCCTTATGGCAGGATATAAAGATTGAATCATAGAGTTGGAAGGAATCATAGAACACATCTACTCCAACCCCTATCATAATTTCTCAATGTGAACTGTATGATCTCTCCAGGATGCCCTACTATATTTTAGGGGGTCATAGGGAGCCATCCTGGCAGGATAGACTTTGCAATAAGTACTTTAACGGTGACTATGAGTGGGTGGGTGTCACCCAGAAGTAAATAGGGCTCCAAAAGCCATAAAAAGGTTGAGAACATCTGTATTAGGGCATAATGTGATATATATATATATACAAACCCTATATATAACAATAACATTTTTCAGAGCAACAACTCAAAATGCAAATTGTAACATCCCACAGATATATACATACCAGGTGTGCACACACATAGTCTTCAAGCATTGTGGATAAATAATAATCTTGGTTTAACCTCCAGTTCCAGATAGTCTTCTGCCAATCATGCATTCAGGAATTTCTAGCAAATCCTGATTTTCCGCAAGGCATAACCTCAGCAACTTACAAATCAGACATCATTGGCTTTCTATGATTTTCACCCAATTTTCTTATTTTATTCACTGAGGGGGTGGGGGAGGGTATTTGCATGCTGCAAAGAACTTGTGAGTTTCATCTTTGTTTCCAAAAAGGCTTTTGCAGCCCATGTAGGCTTCAACGGCATTCTCAGAAAATAAATTTCTGACTGCACCACGAATATGCATGTCATATGCCTAGGGGGAAAAAAAATACACGTGAAGGTGCCAAAGAATATCCAGGTATTGTACCAATGTTTATTCAGTGCAAGTAATAGTGAAGCTTTGATCATTCATGCAGAGGAAGGAGTATTGGATACGTTCGCCGCCTTGACTTATTTATAAAAATAAACAAAGGTGGCATTAAAAATACCTGAAAATAAAAATGCAATAGGCAATGAATGCATTAGAAATTATTATGCCCTCTGCTCTTTTTCTATTGAGTAATCATCATCGTAAGCTTTTCCCCAAATGTTTTGTCTTTTTCAGTTTCCAAATCCTGAAACTGTCAATTTCATAACCTCATTTGCGTGGTGGCGTCACTGCAAGCATGTCATTATTTTGACATCACAGCATTTCCTGCAGATGCCAAGGCTGTGATTCATTCTGAAAGTTGTGGACTCACACCCATTAATTTTTTTTAAAAAAAAATAACCTCTCTAGATCACCGTTTCTCAAGTTTGACAAGTTTTAAGATCTATGGGCTTCAAACTCCCAGAATCCCACACATGCCAGCTGGGGAATTCTGGGAGTCGAAGTCCACAGCATCTTAAAAGTTGTCAAGCTTGAGAAAACACTGTTCTCAGTTAAAACGTTCAGAGGCACATAAACCCACAGCAGTTTA